AAAAGATTAAAAATCAGAGGCATTTTCTATTTTTTGGAGAGGCGTTTCCTTTGTTCTAAGTTCTAACCCTGTAACTCTTAGGCCTAGGCAGTTTTGTGGGCCCTCAGTTCACTACAACCAAGTACGGGAAGAAGAGGACCACTGTACTGCCGTTCTTTTTGACCCTTTTGGAAAGCTATATAGATAGATATAGACCAAATTGTGTGGAGCAGAGAGCAAGATCCCTCCCCTGCATACCATAACAATGCCCACTACAGCACAGACTCTAGCTGCTAGCTCAGCTAACTCAGACAGACACCTCTTAGCTATGGGTGAGAGTACAAGCCTATATGATGGATGGTATGTTTAAGCAACAAAGCTTTACCACCAAAGGCGCTTAAAAGAACACATGGCTAAAACTCCTTTATCAGAAACAGCTTCAAAGAAAAATAAATGAGCAGATCTTAAACGCTGTCAGATTTTGATTCGGCAAGTAGTTATGCACAGAAACTCGCCCTGACGTCAAGATTGAGCTGCCAATATGATGATGATCTTGGAGGTTGAACTAGCATATGATAAGCAGCAGCCGCCTCCTACACTACTTACTACCTTCGTAGACAAAGACTTTCAATTTTAGTAATTGCTCGGAGATATTTGGTACGCGTCATTCTACGATATTTTTGAAAAATTAAATTTTCCTGAATTTTAAATTTTCGAATACTATTATAAACTGAATGTAAAAATTATATTTTTAAAAATCAAAATTTTCGGATAAAAAAAAATTTCTCCTCTACCAAACACCCCCTACTGAATAATCCTTTTCAAATGACAATAATAAAAAAATTTACATCTTAAAATTACAGGTAAAATCACAATTTACGTCTACTACAACTAACCAACCATAAATGGTTGAATATTCGTAGCAAAAGACCAAAAAGGTATTAATAAGATCGACCCTTTTTTCTTTAAGTGGTAAAAAGCAAATTAGGTTCCATCTTCCATGTATCTCAAAATTTACACTTCAGAATAATAAGTAATTTCCGAGCGTAAGCTACGAAGGTTGGATCAATGACCTTTTTACCGAGTAGCAATACTGTTATAGTCACCATTAACCTTAACATTTGAGCTCTCAAAATTTAAAACAAATCCTTGACACTCAACATAAAATTTCTAGCAGGATTTACCATTTCATGCGTCCTGAGTCAGAAACTTCATAACTTTGAAACAAAGGTGCTAATAAATCCAGTGGGACTGGACCTAAAAAGGGAACCCAATAGAATATTAAACCCACAAAAGGTTGACACTACAAGCAATACTTCAGGGAACAATACAACAAAATTATAAATTTACAACAGAAGCTAAAGTTACAAATTTACAACCGTTATCACAAACCACCCCCCCACCCCTCCTCCTCTCTCTCTTCGAAATACGTTCCAGTTACAGAACCATTATGCGGCTCTAAAGAAAGTCAGATACCATCCGTCGATAAAAATCCAAATATTGTATGATTGAAATTGCAATCATATATCTCTAAAACCAGAAAACAGAACTACCAACAAATAAAGCTCATTGAATTAATAATTCTAAGCACCTAAATGATCTACTACGCCGGATAATGAAAAGAAAAATACAACCAAGAAAATATGAAGGGCGTTGTGATTTTCATTCTAACATCTACAAAATAAAAGGACAAATTTTATTTGCTATGACTTGCTGAGCATTCGATTTTTTATTTTAATTCGAATTTTTGGTGCAGCAGGTGTACCTTCGGATGCCTCGGGTTTGGTATCAACCCTTCTCATTTCTAATTTAGAATCATATCCTCCGGGTTCAACAGATTTCAGCTGTCTTGCTACGTCAACTTCAGGTTCCTCTTTCTTGCTTGTCAAGTCTATAGAGGATCTCTTTGTTTCATCACTCAGCAGTTTTGCCAATTCTTTTTCCTTGCGTTTTTTCTCTTTCTTCAATCGTTTTCGCTCCAAATATTCTGGATCATCTTGGCGTCCTTTATGATCTTCCCGCTTGCGTTTCTTTTCCTTGCCTTTGTGCTTTTCTTTCCCACGACCAGAAATTTCTTTACCCAACAATTCTCCATCAAGATCGAATCTAGCAGCAGAAAGAGTCTGAAGGCTGGCATATCGTCGTGCATCAGCATCTATATTGTTATCCTGGATAATACTAGATGATGACGGGTCCTCCGGTTGAGGTTGTGAATAAACTACACTTGAATCAGCAGTGCATTGGAGTTCTTTGACCAATTCATCACCATCACTCAAAAACTTTGCACTACCAATACTGTCCGTCATGCGAGAACCATGATTGTGCCAAGAATTAACTTCTTCAATATTGTGATTACCAATGCTAAGAGTCTCGGCAAAATTCCTCTGGGGTGCATCTACTGAAACTGAACTGGTAGCTCCGTGATCCATTTCATTACGACCACCTAAAGAACGTTCAATCATTTGGTTATCAGTATCAGCCCTACTGGTCGCAGAAGATTGTTTAACCTTGATTTTAATTGGCCTCTTTCGTTCATGGCTATGGGATACAGTATCAGCTTCCTTGGAAACTTCATTGGGAGCTTCAATTGGTGCTTCCCCGGGAAGTACTGGAAATACCTCTTTGGGAGTCTCAAGGGGCACTTCATTTAGAGCTTCAGCTTGCGCTTGATCGGGAGCTTCACAAGGTGGGTCCTTAGTAGCTTCGTCAAGCGCATCCCTCAAACCCTCAGTCATGGCCAAATCTTGTGTAAGGTTTTGGGTAGAGTTTGGCAGTTCCAAAGGTTTACTTTCTGAATCAAGAACAAATATGTTCCTCTGGTAGTTGCAAGCTTCTGGAAGACTCATATGCAACGCTCTATTTTCTCTAGAAATCCCATGGAGAGTTGGGGGTCTGCAGATAAGCAAGAATACATTCATGAAAAAAGATATACATAAAAAAACTTCATAATGTAAGTATATGCGTGTGTATATGTGTGTACACCCAGAACAAAGTGACATTATTTGGCAGTAAAGCAGGAAATTAGCATCACTTAAGTCCCTCGACAAGATGTTAAATTTCTACACAAAGAGTAGGAAAGTGAATTGGTTACATACTAACAACAAAATATTAGACTCCAAATCAGATTGATTTACTAATAAACAAAATTATCAACGAGTAGCAAGAAAATCAGCATGTTAGCTTTTCATTTTTATAAGGAGTATATAGTAGACATATTACTACCTTCCTGCAATAGTTTGTAATATGCAGAACAGGTAGTGCCGGAGAAAGACATTATTAAATGCCATACGCCCTTCCAGTAAACTGAGCAGAGCGACAAAAGTCTGGCTTGTGATTTCATCATTTGAACTCAATCCATCTCTCATCTGACATAGCCTCATCACATGGGTGGCCAGTTTCAATTGCCCTGCAATCAAAGAATGTAAATTTTCCTACACATAATAAAGGGGAAACTAAAGATGTATATCAAAGAATAAGTATGAGAAACAGAGTAAGAGTAGGTGGAAATTAGGTTAATTACTTTATATTTCTCTCTCCCTTTCACTCCTTTTACTTTAATTATTTTTTTTATTTGTTAAAACCAGATTTAAACAATAATTTAATATTAACCGTCCAAAACCAAAATTTGGAGAAACTATATATATTTTGAAATTAGTCCAACTTTAGATGGATTTTATAAAAAGTTTTAATTTCACCAGTTCTGAAACAAATTTCTAGTTTGCTAAACATCTCCATAGATCCTCTCTTGGGGAAAGAATTCACAACCTCTTAAGGAAGGCTCCTCCACTACATATTTGATAAATAAAAGCAATGCTGCATCAATGCCCTTGGAATGGAATTCAAGATCAAGGAGTGCTCTGCTTGCTTCAATTCGAACCTGCCACATTGCCTTTAGGTTCCGAAAAGGCATTACAAGTTCATATACACGATCCTGTAGTAGAGCTGAAGCATTAGATATTTCATGTCAACCTTTGAACAGCAGTTCGATGCAGAGTAAGATGACACTTACAAGAGGAATGAACCCTGAAAGCTTAAGAGCAATCTGAGTCAATGTCCGGATACAACTAATAGTCAATATTCCATTGTAGCTTGGCATGAGACTAGCAGAAGACAATTCCAGATATGTAAAATATAATTATAAGTAAAATTGATAAATCCACCATAATTAGTAAGGAATGTATCATTTCACCTATCAAATTGTAAAAGCCTGTCAATGCGTTTGAGGAGTGATGACAATAGCAGAATACTCTGTCATCAGTTTTAGAGTCAGAAAGAAGCCTTATTGTCATAATCAGTTTGAGTGGTTGAATAATATTATAAAAGAGGTGAGAACCATATCAATGATAAATACCGTAAAGAACCAATTCAACCCAAAGCTTAAGCTGTTTGGTGATGGCATTTTTAATGGTTTATATTATATACTCTAACACGCCCCCTCACACGAAAACACTGGACTTGAAGGGTGGACAAAACACAGGCCTACCTACCTGTGCTGAGAAACTCCACAATACTTAATTAATTATTAATTAAATGGGGGCGGTAAGGATCGAACCTGTGATACCAAGACACTGATACCATGTAAAGAACCAATTCAATCCAAAAGTTTAAGTTGTTGGGTGATAGCCTTTTAAATGGTTTATATTATACACTCTAACAAATACAAATTAACAGCAATAAATAAATATGGACTCTCAAACAAAAACAAACAACCTATGAATGGTTGTCATAGGAATGGATATTGAACAGCTCAAACCACACTTCTCACCAACAAAATTATCATCTCCCAATACTTTAAATTCAACATCTTTGTCTTGGTTAATTCTTAGGTACTTAAGGAACTTTGTAATTAGTAAATCTAAAACAAAAAGACACAAGGCAAGCTCAGATCAGTATATTAATTCATGCAGATAATCATGACAATCAGCTAGAGTAATAAATAGTCCATGAACCTGTTGCCCAAACTCAAGCTCTCCAACTGACTGGACCAACGCAGCAAGCCAGAAGACATCTGAGTAAGGGTTCCCGTTGTTGTCGTTGTACTGTGAAAAATAGGAGGATAAAAATGACGAGTCACACAGCTGTTCATAGAACTTTTCATAGCCAAAAGCAAGAAGCAATCTTCCAAAAAAATAGTAATTTCACTGCCAAACCAACATATATCCAAAGGACAGTGATGTATGGCAATAGGAACAACCAAAAATGGTGCAATACAACAGCAGCATAAAGAAGCAAAGAAAAGATACAATCAACAAAAGTTAGTTGATTAACCTTGTTTTTGGATAGTGGAATCCTAAATATAAAATAAGGATCGAAGGGGCCAGCTACAGGGTTATCAATGGCAGATTGCAGCTCATGGCAGCAAGCCAAAAAATCCACCACAGAATAACGGTGGATGGCATTGAGGCAAATGGCAGAAGCATAGCAGCCATATTAAAAAACATGCATATTATACAATTGAAAAAACTTACAACTTACATCAAGAATTGTAAACATAATTTGCCTCATACGTGACTTTTCGGCAGTGTGTATCCAAGGAATGGATGGCCAGGCCAGCCGACAGTGGAGAGGGACATGAAATGGGGTGTTAAGAAATCCCACATCTGCTAAATATAAAGACGAAGTACCCTTTATAAAGATTGAGCAGTAGTCCCCCTTGAGCTAGCTTTTAGGATTCAGTTATGCCCAATCATTCTAACAAGGATCATGACCTTGCTTAAGCCTTAAGCACCTCATGACAAAAGCAAGGATGTGCATGCACGGCAATTTTTTTGGGGATAGATCAAACAATTTTTAACATTGAGGAGGAAAATATCTATGCGCTAAAGTATAACCTAATATAATTGAAAGGGTCAAGGGTTACATGCTTCATAGCCAGCTCTATACCTGCAGAGAGGCAAGTACAGAGACAATGATCTCTGCAGGATTAGAAAATTCTTTTCCTTACAAATTGTCGTGAACCGTCCATCCCAAAAACTTAAACTGTAAAGTGAAGTATCATGATTGGTTTTATATTACCTCTATAAGACAAAATAATTCATGATCGGAATTCTTTGCATACTATACAATGAAATAAATATTATTTTACTAAACAAATATGAAATAGAACCACTATATAAACCAAGTGACCAACTGCTTAAATCCCTTGTCCATTCTCTTCAAGGCAACAAGGAACAAATAATTAATTACAATTCAATTGAATTTCTAATAAAATTATTTATTTGAAACAACTTAATAGATGCATTCAGTTCATTTGAAAGGAATTCCATTCACGCTGAGGATTAATCCATACAAAGACACCATAAATATGTCCTATTACAATTCACTGTTTCCGTTCTATGGATTTAACTGCCCATGTCATAGTCACGTGTCATTCTGATGAAAAAATTAATGCATGCAGCAGAAAGTAAGCAATAACCTTTAATAGCTGTAAAACAAACTCGATAGCCTCTCTTGGGCTTTTCTTGTCAGCGGATCTGACCATAGCTACAGCATGTGGAATGGCCTACAACAGACAATTATTAAATAAAAAATTCATTGCAAGTTATAAAAGATAATATGATAAAATGGTTTATTATCCAACCACATGCAGAATACATACCATATCAAAAATCAAAATTATCATAGGATGCACAAGGTTACCGATAATATAAGCGAATTTTAAACAAAGGCAAATTCAATATTCAGTTTTGAAACACAACAAATCATTGACCATGCAAAAAATACAAATAATTCTATAATTTATATTCCAGCAATTCTGAAAATAAATAAAACAATGACACATACATTAAGCACTGAAAATCAACAAAAATATAAAATTATTTTTAATGGCTATTCTCAACAATGATGTTCAACAGGAATGCCTAGGAACTTTGAGTATCTCCGGTGTTGTAGGCTTTGAACAGAGGAAACATGTGGTTAAAATAACTGCATAGATAATGGATAAATCATACGGATCTCAACATTTAGAGATTAGGGACATTCTCTCCTTTGTATTCTCAACATCAACAACACCTTTATCTCAAACTAGTTGGGTTCGGTGGCAGGTGGACCCAAATGAACACCTTTAACTCCGCCTATGTATGTGTGCATGCATGCATGCCTGTCCCAAGCCAAGGTAAAGGAGGAAGGTTGATGTCACAATCCAGTTGTAAGGTATAGGACTTGGAGTGCTACATTGGAAACATAAGGTTCTAGTGTGGGGTTTATATGGACTTTGGGTTCTCCTACCATATAAGCTAGTTTTTGGTATGAGGTTCTCCCAAGGTTCATATCAATTGGCGTCAGGTGTAACGAGACGGTTGTAAAAGAAAAGAGCTATATTTATGAGATGAACCGTTATCATTTCTCTCCTTTGTATTCTATCCTAAGAAAATCAACTCTACCTTTATCTCGCTCGCATGTGGCCCTTCCTCTTAGTCAAAAATAGCTTCAAGTCTCAATCGTTTTTTATTTTATTTTTTGTATATTCAAGTCTCAATCTTTGATCAACTTCAACAACATACTAAAATCTCAATCCTCTACAAATAATTTCAGCTTTATTTAAACATTTCGAACTTTATAAATGTTAAATCTGATATCTGGTTCAGTTTTCTTATAGGACCAGATATGCATATTGCACGGTGACATTCATTCTAACCCATGGTTTTTAGCTGCCGTGAGGCTACTTCACTGTAGTGACTGCTTTTTCTCATGTCGCAAAGGCAGCTTCCCATCCTAAGCCTGACTAGTGCTGTGATTTGTTTAATTCTATCATTATATAGATTGTAAATCTATTCTAAAGTGAGATACTTATTTAAAGACCTACTTTCTGTTCTTTTCTTCTTCTTTTTTCACTAACAGTGCGTTAAAAATATTAATTATCTTTAGTAAAACCTAGGATTAAACCCATTTCCAATCCCTTCCTACGGCTGATGTACAATCCGACTTTGATAAATAACCTCCAAGCCACCCAGAATTTACCACTAGTCAACCTCTCATTAGGGAGGCTCTATTTAATGCTGAATACTTATAATAAGATACTGATTGGCACTTTTTTAGCATTAAGCAGCTAACTAAATGTTTTGGTCTACCGCATTTGTATTCTGGAACTTGAATACTTGTGTTGTATGCACAACTGCTAATTTGTGCTATGTTTTGTCAAAGCCATACTTCTGTAATGGAAGATAGGGCTGTGCAAAATAACCGAACTGAATTGAACCAATCCACATTTTTCTGAATCAGTTTTGAGAACAGAACTAATTTTATATAAGAGTTTAAAAAATAAACTATACCAAAAAAAGGGGTTTGGAAAACCGGTTAAGAATTGGTTTGCATATCCAAACTTGCTTGGAACCAGTTATAAATCATAAACTGGTTTTGAGACATGAACCAGTTTTGAACCGATTCGGGAAAATAAAACTAATGCAGATTAAATAAATCAGTTCGGCTCTTTCAACTGAACCAATTTAAACCAGTTTGGTTCGGTTCAATGAACAAAACAATTCAAGTAGAATCATGCCCACTCTTAGTCGAACCTATGGTAGCACATAAAGATGGTCCAGCATCTAACAGATAACATACAATATCATTTGAAGTTATCTCAGGTGCTCAAAAGTCAAAAGCACATTATTTTACCATCAGATGGTGCACCCTAGAGAAATCTAGATTTTAACAAACTATGATAACAGACTTAGTAACTTGAGAATTAAGTAACCTGCTACACTTGCTTTCTGATAAATGGAGCAGCAATGATTGATGACCATTTGGGTAAAATCGGTACAACATCTACATGGACATACCCACACCTACTTATAGATATCTATGGTATATATTTGGTGTTAATTAGTAATAATTTTATCCTTTCTTATGTTGAATATATGTTGTATAATGGAACTTCAACTATTACTGTTATAGAGCTTATTTGTCAAAATTGCTTAAGATACATAATATGATACGTGAGAATTAAAGAAAAGTATACACCTACGATACATTGAGAACAAATACTCTCATGTCACCGTTAATTTATCTATAGACGACTGAGATCATCTCACGACATCATGTGACATGAGAGGATCCATTCCGAAAATACACTACAATAAAGAGTTGCATTTGAATTAGTGCATCGAACTCCCTAGAGCATAGCTACACAACATACATACATGAGTTTAACAACCTGACAAATGGCATGTCCACACTACCATGAAAATCCATAACAGAAAAAACTTAAAGCAATAGTTCACAAAGGCGGACATTAACAAATACAAATATATGCAGTAGCATCATACATAAGATTTGCATAAAATGCAAGTATATTAAAAATATAAAAAAATAAAATATATGATGACCCTCCAAAAAAAATTAAGACAATATTCAGAACATGTGTAATCTCAAACATATTTCAATCACATCACATCAGGGATAACTTCATACCCATCCTACCTCCTTGCATTACCTCAAGAACAAAATACTCAGCAAAATCATGGAAATCATTTGGCCTGGCAAGAGTGGTTTACAACAACAACAACAACAAAATGTCACTTGATATTGTCAAAATTAAATAAGAGTAAAATAAATAATAATTTTAACATTCTCACTTTGGAAGTCCAATGTCAGGATCAAACCTTCGATTCTTGTAAAATTTCACCAAATGGAGAAGACCAGAAAAATCCGTCTCCTGCTAGACAATGAAATTAGGTCAAAATTAATCAAGCCATGATGAAAAAGAAAGAACTGTCAGCATTTCTTATCCAGTGTCAACCGTAATTTGAATTTGTAGTAGGTATAACAAGTATAACTATAATTCACATTTCAATTAATTATATCCACGAACTTTACTAATACTCATGCAACAGCTAATGTTATCTTTGGCTCCATAGTTACTCATGAACTTGACTAACTTTTAAACCTCCATTTGGAGTTAAACAATATATAGAATTTAAAAATAAAAAATAAAAAATTGAAGAATAAATGAATGACTTTTTTCTTAGGTACTAAAATTTACTATAAAAGTCATGGCAAGTTATCAGAAGTCAATAACTATATTAAATCAAGATCTGACAACACTGAAACTATTCAGTTAAATTGAAGATAGACTACTCAATTGACACACTGCTCATGAATTTAATGTATTTAGCAATCGACTGATATTTCTTGAAGTCATAATGCAATGAGTAGCCTAGCATTTAAATACCTCAGATGCTGAACTTGCCAGTGCAAATGCTGCTTCAATTCTTACTCTCCAAAAAGCCTTGAGTTTGAACCAAAGAATTTCATATATTAACTTAGAATTCAAACTCAATTACTGAAAATACTATACATTACAGAAAGGAATTGAAACCTTGGAGTCACTTAGAAAATTGTTTAGGGCATTCACGACAGAAAATGATAGCTGGGGTGATGCCTCAAGGGCTGCAATTGCTTGTGCCTGAGCAATAACATCTTTGTCCTTCTCTAATTGATTAATCTAATAGAACATAAAAACTATCAAGAATCAATAAATATAACCAATTACAAAAATTTAAATGTAAAAAAAGATATAAAACATGAACACCAACACAAATGAATCAGCATGATTAGCTTCTAACAAAACCCAAAAGCCAGATTAAAACATTACATCGTTGCAAGTTTTATGTAGTTGGGCCTTCTGGTTTCCACAATAGATTAGAAAAAGGCACAAGTCATAGTGGCATGGTTCACATCTCAAAAGGAAGGCTTAGACACAGACAAGGAAAATTCAGGGCCTGTTTGATTTCTATTCTTAAAAATAGTTTTCGAGTTTTAAAACAAAAAAGTTGAAAAACCTGTTTGGAAAGGGCTGTTTTGAAAAATGACTCCCAAAATAATAATTGGTTTTTAGTATTAAAAACTAAAAATGCAGAACCACCAAGGGATGTTCTCAAAAGTTGTTTTTTGATTTTCTTGTTTTTGAGGTGGAAATTTTGTAAATATGAACATTCATTAATGGCACTTTTGTAAATAAATTTAATTTATTTTTTAATTTTAAATTACTTTATGTTGGCAATCTTGTAATTAAGAAACCTCAGTAATGACATTTTTGTAAAGAATTACAACTTCTTTATAACTTTAAATCTAACTATATTCAAACAAGTTTTATGGTACTTTTACTGTCAAAATCTATATTCAAAACAGTTTTTGAAAACAAAAAAACAAAAACATATTCAAACAGACACTCAATCTTTTGCAAACACTTCACATCAAGTTCATCCAGTACTTGTAAAGGTTCAAGTAATGCTATCTTTGCTTAATCTTCCACCATGAAGAGTGAAACCAAAATAGGTCACAATTATAATGTGACATGCCCAGAACACCAAAAATCCATGACCAGCATACAGCTTCCACAGATCAGCCCCTAAGCATAAGTTTCAACAAAACATGCCAAATCGGTTCTTAGCATAGACCATTCTCGCAATAATTAGTCCCTCCCTTGGACTTGGAAATCCCTATATAGTGGAAAGTTCTTCTGCCATAAAGGGCAGGGTCGTCTTCATGATATGTCAAACACAGTCATGCAGAAGCAAATATGGATAATACAAACAACACCAGTCATGCTTTAAACTTACAACATAATCCCCGAGCTCAACTAGCAACTCTGACCACTTTTGTTTACGTTTGACTCTATTGATCAAATGACAGGTGAGACAAAGAGGTCGGAGACTAAAATTTCTTTCCTTATTGGAGGATGAAACCTCAACATCAAATCAAATATTCAAACACCACAAATGCTGAAGACAAGAAAAGTATAAGGACATTCATTTTAATATAAGACAACAAAGTTGTAAAAATTTGCAAGCAGGGTAAGTAAAATGGTTGTCCACATAAACCCAAAAAGAGGATATAAATAATTGAACATATGCAATGCCTCTCATAGCCTAGTAAAACAACATATCACAATAACTCTAAAGAACCAACTTGCTGTGCCACTACCAGTCTACTGCAATCTCATACTTACCCACATCTGAACTGGTTGATTAAAATGAACCTCAGCAAGGTACTCCATGTCAGGATCTGCTCTGATCCATAATAAAGGGGACTCAGTACTGCTATATCACAGGGAAAAAAATATCAGAAACTCAATGACAACAAGAAGCTTCGACAAATGATGACGATGTTGATAGGAAACTGATGTACCTGGAGCGCATATCCAAGGAAGGTACATCACCATTATCATCAGAGCCATCAAGTTTTACACCTTTCTTAGGCTTTTGAAAGCGTCTAGCAGCAAGTTTTGAGTGGCATTGTATTTCCAACAGTTGCCATGCTTCTCCAGCCATCGGTAAAATTGGATGATCATACATACCATCAAGTTCATATACCCTGATACTCATCATACCAGGCCATCCACTATCTCCATCTCGATTTTCAGTATCAGGATTAATATCAAGAATGGATGTACTTGAAGTCTGCAACGCTGTGCATCCCCGCAACACAGCCAATTCAACCATATTCTTCCTTTTGTTATAAGAAAACCCCATCCTTAGCAGCAGCAGAAAGTAACAGATCAGAATATGAACACAGAAAGCATTTAAAAAATGAGAGTAAGAGTAAAAAGTAAATACTTATTTTACACCTTAAAACAGGACATCCACATGAACCGACCCACCGAGGGAAGAAATCTTTAAGAAATGGACGTTCAAGATTTCCAACCTTATTAGCAAAATGTCGAAACTGCATATTAAAAAAACCAATAAAAGAAAGCCAACAATCAGATTCACATTATATTCACAAAAACGAAAACCCATCAGGATGCTTAAGCAAACGGTACACAAGATTAAACTACACTGCATTTCTCAGCTTTACAAGGACTTATTTATGAAGTTTATCCTAGCTTCCTTAATGAAAGCAATTTTAAGGAAATTTCATCAATTAGCTTGTCCATCTCAGTTCATTTTTCCCAGTCTTCTTTGATCTAGAAAATGCCAAAGATAGGGTGACACAAGAAGTCCTGTGGACAGCTCAAGCAATGATAGGAGCAAGTATCCAATATATTTGAGTTATAAAGGATATGTATGATGCAACACCAACTAACATGAAAACTTATTGAGTTGTAACTTTAAGTCCATAGGTTTTTAACCTAGTATTGGACTAACTTACTCCATACACCCAAGAGGTAATGCCACATCAAATGCTTTTTGCAAATAATATAATCTCAGTTGATAAGTCAATTCTAAACTTTAGTTGTAAGGAGAAAGCTTTGGAATCATAGGATTTTCATTAAGTAGGCATGAGACGAATTAAGGGCAATCCTTGGAAACAATGATAAAATTGCTCCTTTGTGACTGAAACCTCTTTGCAAAAATGCAAGTATAAGGCTGCATACAATTGACCCTTAACCTTACCTTGGCAAAATCAAGGAGCCTTGCCCTTTTTAGGCATGAGACAAACAATATGAAATTGAAGTTTAGTAAATGCGAGTTAGGTGAACATTGGAATCCGAAAATACTACAATTTGCAAGATTTGGGTACTTTATATCCATCTTACATATTGATGGTAAGATTTAATGGGAAATCAAATAAAACATTCAAGCTAGGTGGATGAAATGGAGAACAAAGAGGTTGTTCCCCATACTCAAAACTTGTCACCTTCTGGTTACAAGGAGTAATCTTACCGCTATTCTCATGTCAACTGCTTTACTCCATGCTTTGATACCTACAACTGAACACCCAAAACACATCCCACAACCTGACCACTTGTTCTTAGAATTGAATCAAGGCCTCCTAGAACAAGTGATCACCTAGAACTCCAAGCAAATTATTTCAAGTGGCAAAATTATTTTTACATTGCGAAGCGGATACCTTCCTTTGGAGTTCTTAGTGGTGTTGCCTGTTTTCAATCACTTCGGAGATTTATATCTTTTGACATTTTAAAGGATTTGGCAAAATAAGGTTTTCAACAAGGTTGTCAAAATTGAGATTTTACCTAAGATCGGAAGGGAGTGATGATCATAAATCGTGGGATCGACCCGGATTGTAAGATCTTATATTTTTAATTTTAATTATAAAAAATAACATTAATAAATATTAAATATTATTTAAACCACAACTTCAATCATTAAAGATTAAAATTAGATTGAATTTTCTCCTTAGTAATAAGATAATACGAAGAAGGCCAAAAATATCGAGAGAGAATTGGATTTGGTTAGACAAACAAAAACGAGAATTAGTGATAAACATATAGATTTCATATTTCACCATACAGCAAATTGGGGAATAGTATCAGGGTATGTATAATTATATATAAAATAAAAGGGTTATAACATAATATAAAAAAAATCAAACATTTAGAAACAGAGAGATGGGTTTCTTTTCACTGTACAAGGAATGTGATTTGAGAATAACACAAAATCAAAACACACAAAAATGGAACATCACCCAGGCCCAAAGAAACAGAGCACAACATGTTCGCTCCTTGGCTCGCATCACTGGATTTCGCACCATTACACTAGATGCAGAGACCCGCAGTCATGGTCGCTAGAGAGAAGAAATCAATCGCAAATCTGAGTGGTCTTTTCAAGTCTTTGACAGTGTAAACAAAGTTTTGTTTTACCACTACACCAGAAGCAGAGAGTAGCAGTCGCGGTCACTAGAGAGAGAGAAAAAATTCGCAAAATCTGAGTGATTTTATTTTTTAATTTTTGGGTTATGGGTATTTTTTATTGTCCAGATCAGAAGACAAACAGGTTTGAAAATTTTAAAATCGTTTCAACAGTGGTATCGCAGGATCCTACCGTCTTTACACTCTTGCTAGTCGATCCTGTACGATCTTGATTCAGACCGATTTTATGTGCAATTTGAATCGGCCATGGTGGGGAAACTGTAGGATAGTACGATCCTACTTTTATCTTGCGATTTTAACAACAATGGTTTTCAAAATAAAAAGGAGGCAAAAACATAGAAGAAGCATGTGGGTTGTGCAATGGTTGAAGTGGAATGCTAGCATCATCAAGGACATCTCTTTTTGTCTGCATATTTTATGGGATAGGATTGCATTTATGACTTCTCTCGGGTGCCATGTAGCTTCTGTTCATGGTTGCTTTAAAAGAGTTTTTGTTTCTGACTTGCAAATAGATCAGACACCTGCATTGCCATTTTAGCCTCTTTTGCTCTCGTTTTCTTCAAGTTTGTTTTTGTGATTTCTACTTTTTCACTCATATTCTCTTCCAAAAACAATTGTGTAACCAGAGAATTGTGTAATTTATATCATTATTATAATATAACTTTGACTGACAATTTTTTGCGGATATTATTTAGTTATTTGACATTTTTTTTAAGGTAATCATGATAGAATTGAAGTCCTATTAGGATTGAGCAAAGTCTTGGAAGACTGTTTACTTGCCAGTCAAGTGTTAGTATGCCTATAAAAGGCCTTGTTACGTGAAAAAAAAAAAGAAGATAAATCTTGTATTTTCACTCATGTCTGGCAAATGACTTTCCTTGAAGTCTGATGAATTCCAAATCTAGAGTTTTCTAAATCCTAGAACCCTTATTCAATTATTCCAACGTTCCAAGTTCCAAATTTGATTCCCTTATCCCTCAACTCTAACTCTGTCTCAAGCTACTGCCTTTGCTTTTCCCCTCTGCATCAGCTTGGTAGTTGGTATCACATGCAAAATTTATATATCCTATATCTACGTCAGATCCACACTTGTGTAATTATAGATAGATGAATCCAGCAGAAATGGATATATGACAATAATATAATTACCTACGAGAATTTATAGGGTTTCCTTGAACAATTAACATGCATATATATAAAATGTCCGAGGCTCAGAACTATAATAAATGTTAAAGCATTTTCAGTAGAATAAAAGAAAATGAGCTAGAAATCATTTGTTATAAATTAACTACTCTGTTAAAGAATCTAATTATATACAAAGGTTTTCAGCTCTATTGCTTTAAGATAATTTCATAGAAGCTATGTGCAGGTACTAATTCACAGAATTTACTCAACCAGGAGCAAATTACCTCCTTAGTACTAAGAGTTTTCATGGACCGTGTTTTGTCTTGAGCCCGAGAAACTATAGTTTGCAAAATCTACATATTGAAAACAAAAAGAAACAATCATCAAACCCCTCACTCAAGCACATAAATTTCAGGAATGAGAGAGAGAGAGAGAAGAAAAAAGCACTTGATAAGTAACCAGCACAAACAACGAAATAAAGAACAAGCACAGTAAAATGATAATGGCACATCATGAATAATGGGAAAGCTGTGAAATGCAAGGAGACCACTCAATGTCTCGATGAGTACTACCAGCTGAGCTAATTGATATGTAAACTTCAGAATATAAGCACGAAAACAAGCTAAAAAACTCCACAACAATACTTTGTCATCAGTCCAAAGTATCTGACAATACTTATCCAAACAATCTTTAACATAGCATATAGTTGATGCTTAAACAAAATTTTATTTAATTGACATCAGGAACACTATTAGCTCATCATTAGATCATTTACTTTTTTTTTTCTAATTTTCAGTGGACAAGCACAATCAATGTCTTCAAAAACAGATGTCAATCAAAGAGAGAGGTTTAAGGTTTTTAAGGTCCAACTAGGTCGATAAGTGATCTATATATACATATATATTATGGAAATATATGACTATATGACAATATGCAACATGTTTTTAAAGAGGTTGTTTAGCACATGCAACAAGTTAACATCAACATCACCTTTATCCCATATTAATTGAGGTCGTGGATTGATGAACCCAAATAAAAAGCAAGAAAAGATTGAGGGAAAAGAAAAACAAATAAGAGAAAATAAATCAATACATAATATACGGAAAAATGACTAGAAAAGGCGTCTAGAACATATGAAATAGCAAATCTACTCCTCTGCAATGTTTATAACTTTTCTCCAATTCGTCCTAAGACAAACCATACGCCAATCTATTTCTCACTCTATTAAGTATTGCCTTCCTACTTTCCCTGAAATAAGTTTCAGGAACTCTTCCTCTCTTTGTAACCTACTCTTGAAAACAATTTTTTGTTCTTAAGGGAGCATCTAGGGGTCATCAAATAACCCAAACCATCTTAATCTATATTCTCTCATCTTTTCAACCACGGATACTACGCTACCTTACATGAAATATCTTCATTTTTTATATTACCCATCCTTGTATGACCACACATCCCCCTTAATATCGACATTTTCACTATTCCCAATTTATGGCACATGCTGCTAATGTGTTGGCCAACATTCAACAACTCATAACATTTATAGGCCCTGATGTTATTTTATAAAAATTCTCTTTTAAACAATCACACAAACATCCTAATGTGTTGCGCCATTTCATCCAACATGCTCCGATTCTATGATATATTTAGCAAATGAAACAAGTATTAAACTAAAAAAATTATTTTAGAATATTTCTATAACCTATGCTAGTCTCGCATAAAAGTTGTTAGAAATATATAATTAAATCATTAATGTGCCTTCACCAACAGCTCAAGCTTTTGGGAGAATTCATTTTTGTCGCCCCATTCTTTTTAAAATAAGTGGGCCTACGTATTATCCACACTTCAAGTCAAGAGGGCTTTTACGTGTGCGCTCAAGTTAATAAAATAAAATAAAGAACAATTCATGTGTCTTCACCTAACAATTGAAGCTTTTGGAAGAGCTGGGAAAGGTAAAGTTTCTCATACTATGCTAGTCCTCAATGTTAAGTAAAAGGAGAAGAGGTGAGACTTCTGAATATAAATAGGAGTCAAACTGCAATTCGTTCCGCATTAGACACATTAATAGGAGAGAGACTGAGTTTTGGCTACACATTGGTAACCATGAATTAAATCCAATGAAAATATTTACACTGATTTTATAAAATAAAATAAAACAACCTCGCCCAGTTCAACCATGAAAGGGTTGATCGCTTTTCCAGTTCAAATCCTGGTTTTGAAATTTGAAAGTTTTTAGGGGTTGTTGGACTGAGCTTGTTAGAGTATTTACTCGTAGTTGAGCTCGCTCTCTCTCTCTCGAACACACTCGTCATGCCTTTGATCCGTTACTATTTCTATCAGCCAGTACAGCTGTTATTTCATTACAGTTAAGCATAACTAGTTAGCCTTGTCAGATTCTGCTACGACTTGTATTTGATATAAAGGATTGGAGGTATATTCTTGAAGGAATATACCCAGGAAACAATCGGAATGCCAAAAAAGCTAATAATTGTTGTATAGAGTCCGTTAGATGGGTTAGTTAGGTAGTTAGTCGGCTAGGGGCTTATGTTAGAAGCCTAGGAAGCTGTATATAAGGGAGGTACACCTGATTGATGGACAGCTTTTGACAAACATTGAGTTGGGCTGGGAGTTTCTCAGTTGAAGGTAAGTGCCCCTTGGCAAGAGGATTTTCCTCTTGTATGTTCTTTGATCTCATCGATAAAATTGACATTTTTGTCCAATTTCCTCTGTTTCCTTTGGGCTGAGAAATTCCTTGCCTTGAGCAATCCAGAGCTGTAACAGATTCTGTTATAATACTGAGTCAGATTCTGTTAATAAGGTTATATTTCACATAATAAACTTCAGACTACAGATTCTCTCTTTTACTTTCTCTGACTTTCTTGTTTTCTCGCCTGAGCACAACTTCTATGAACAGCTTGTAGATTTCCTAGTCCAACCGGCTGGTCTGGGTTTGAAAACCATCACATCATTATACTAATGAAGCACTATATAGCAAGTCATGTTGAGTGTCATTATACTTTCAGCACATAAATTAAAACCTTTCCAAACAGTATAAGTTCAGTGCTTAGTTTTTCAGGAGGTTTATCAAATGCTACCATAAGTTGGGAAGGGCAGACGGACAGATTGAGAACATATCATGCACACCATTCAAACTAACGAATCCACTATCAGGAAAAGGAAAAATCAGAAAGATAGCAAGAATATCAATATTACTATATCCAATAGAAAAAACACAAATACTTGATCACCAAAAACAGCACAGATGACAAACCAAGGCACATCCAGTATATCTAGAATGGTCAGAAGGACAAATAGGGCAAATGGCAAGTACTCACTTTGCGGAAAGATTCGGGACCCATCTGCTTTTCCAACATCTGAAGAACTGCCACCTAAACAAAGGTACAAATAAAAAAGGAATTATCTAATTCCATACTATACAAGGGAACATATTACTATCCAGGCTTGTTGCTGTATGTCTAAAAGAGGGAAAAAAGGAAAGGGAAAAAAACTCACAGACTTCCATGATCTTATTTTTCCATACAAACCAATGCACTGTGTTCCATATAAATCCTTACACGAAGCTGAGCAGCTCAAAGCTGTTGCTCCATCATTATCAACTTTGCAAACGGCACAATTTGCCTGTAGATTGATTTACATGAGCATACAAAAATGTAATCAGCATATTAACTGCTGCACATTTTCAACTCAGAAGATTATGCTCTGTGGCTTCAACATAAAATAACATTAACTAACCAAGTTTAACCATGGCAATCAAAGAATAAAAACACACAAGTGCCTGTTTGACATGTCTTATTTTTAGGTTCTCTTCTCCTACAGAAGCTTAACCAAACATAATTTTATAAAAGCTCTTATTATAAAAAGAGTTTTTTTAAATAACGAAGAAAAAGGGAAAAAGCTAAAAGCTCCCAAGAGTAGCTTTTTTTAAGATGTATTCCAGCTTTTTGGAGTCCTCGTATTTATTTTATATTTTTACCCTTAGTTTAAACTTGTATTTATAAATTCTATCCTTTACCCTAATGATTTACTCTAATAACTAATCATTCCATCTCCTCCCTTTAAAATCCTAAGAATAGCTTTATGCAATCACCAAACAGCTTTTAACTCTATTTTTAAGCTAAAAAAAGATGTATCAAACATGTTCTAAATATAAAATGAAATTCAATTGAGAAACTTCGCTAGTCGTTATATGTCCAAATAGGAGAAGATGATCCAAGCTGAAAAAGCGTAACTCCTCGCGCATTTGAAATAAGGGCAAATTCCAGAGCACAAGGATCCCACCTTTGTGAGGATAAAGGTGAGTGTCGATTATATTATATTTAGCCTTATCCTTACATTTTTTCAAAGAGAATGCTTTTCAAACTCGAACCCATAACCTTCTTGTCACAAAGGAGACACCTTACTGTTGCTTCAAGGCTCACCCTCTCCTCAAGCATTTGAAATTAAGGATTTTATAGAAAATTAATAAATTAAAACAAATCTGCAGAGCAGAGAAAATGAAAAACTGATCTGCTTGATATTTGAGAATTCAAGCCAGCACCTTCAAAACCAAAGGGAAAAAGAGGCCATTTAAAGCAACCAGGCAAAAGAATATTTATAAGACATAAATGAACAGTCCAAAGTGTCCACTCCCAAGTAGCAATGTTATACCACAAACATTTTGAGACAGCCAAAGGAGCAGACTATCATAATGAGTAACAGCCTAATCCTAGGTGAGTTAAACTTTGCATAGATCAGACTGCCAGGGATATTATACTACAGGTATATATCTTATATGGCTCTGAGTTCTTTTAGAGATTGAAACTTCGAGAATAGAAAAGAAGAATGGAAGAAAAATGGAGAATGGAAGAACAGTATCAGTTTATTGAAGAGAAAAACAAATGAATATACAAGACACTTCCTCTTGCAAAGAGGCACTTCGCTTCTAACTAAGAACTCTCCGTCAATACTCAGAAAATACCAACCTATATCCAATAGAGAGGACAACACCCCCTTTTTATACAAATAAAACCAACCCACCTAACTAACTTTCTAAACAGAGTATATTCTATCAGAATATCCTTTCCCTCTTAACACTACATTCCTTGAAGAATACCCTTCCCCTCTTAATGCTAATTGTACCAATATCATTTAGTAATTGACAGAAAGAACAGAAACAGTCAGTGAGATTATCATGTCTGTAATAACAGTCAAACAGACTGGCATCTGTTATCTATTCTGTTTTGATTCAGCTAACACAGTAAATGACAACTGTCTTAACTGAATCTATAAGTATGTAAACCAAAACTCAGGAAGAATAGAATAAGAATACAGATTCATTTCATCAGTGTTTTTCTCCTCTCTCTAACATTTTCTTTCACTTTACCTCACTTTCTCTGAACTCTCAGTTCGATCACAGACTAACCAAAAAACAAAAACAAACCTTGTATCTCCGGTACCGTGCCTCATTATTTCCCAAACATTTCTTAATGAAAAAATCTGTCAAGAAACCAGCAAGCCCATCCAAGAGCCACTCTGCAAAATGCAAATAAGCATTCACCAATCATGTTAGAGGAAACAAGTTTTCTGCAAAACTTACAAAGAATCAAATGAAAATAACAATCAATAACCAATTAAGCATTATAAAAATATCCTCTGCTACATTACCATCAGTTGGTGCCTCAGGAGTGATATACACACCAAACCACTGTCTTGCAAGGGCATATGCTAATTTTATCCTTGTATCAATAGTCTGTCACAACAAACACTAATGCTGAGATTTAAGCAGGCAAAGCAGCAAAACCATATGCGGAAAACTCCCATGTGAAAGAAAAATAGTTTATCATTCACTCAGAAAGAATTTGATTAAAAAATGATATAATAAAATATAAGAATTTAAACAATGAACTGACCTGATCAATAACCTTCTCATCAAACAAAACTTGAGAACTAAATATACTCATAGAGGCTCCAGAACTCAAAGATGAAACTGCCATCTCTGGCTCTATGAAAATTTGCTTATATGAGTCAAATGGGAAGTCTACAGAAAGGTATTCCTTATAGCAGCTGCTCACCAATAGAAGTTCAAATTATCCGATCAGTATACAATTTTAAGATAAGGATCCTGTTTCAGGCCTGCAAAATTGCAATTACCACATTCCCAACCTGAAGGTACTATGGAAAAATTCCACTGTATTCCGCATCTTTGACAGATTAGGTAGCAAACACATGTGTGATATGAGACTAAATTGGTGATCAGGAAGAATTTCAAATGGGGCAACAGCCAAAGATATCCACCTTGCAGCAACAGGAACATCCAATTTATAAACATATGTTTTCCGAGGAGGATTGTCCTTGCTTAAGACCTGAAAAAGAAAAGAGATTCAAACATATACAAATTTTACATTTTAACTCTGCAAGGTGTATAAAAGATAAAAAAAAAAAATTGTATAGAAAAAGAAATTTTATTAGAAACAAAATAGGTGAATTACAACAAGGGGGCGCCAAGAAATCCTCTTAAACAGAAAAGAAAAAAAAGAGAAAAAAAAAATAATAGACAAAGTTTACATCTCATAGCATATATAAAATAGCATCAACCAAAGGATAAATATCAATAATAATTTTCTTTTCCACTTTGGACAGTAGGCATCCTTCCTTTACCCTTCTCTTTCATGGCATGGAACTAAAAGACAAGTGGGAAGCTGCTTCAAAATTTTGTGAAAGTTAAATATTCTCTTCAAAACAAAGAGCTAAAAATACAAGCCAAAGGACAAAATCTTTAGCTACACAAATCCTTAACCCTAGAGAACCATGCGGTGAGCATGGATTGAACATGCGACCTTCAGATCTTCAATCTGACGCTCTCCCAACTAAGCTATCACCGCAAATCAAGCACAACCAGCCAGAAACCAAAACTGGGCTGGTAGCATTGCAGAGTTGTATAACCTAACAACAAATTGATAGTGATGACAATAAATGGATGACTGAGAGAAACCCCACAAATCATGAAGCAGCCACAAATTGAAATCCAGGGCATAGCATTTCAGAGTTGTATCAAAATGACAGCAACGGTTACAGATAAGGGTACTTTTGGGATGAATCTTATCCAAAAAGAAAAAGAAAATGAGAATCAAAGAAAAGAAATGGAAGGAGGAAGGCTGCATTCAATCCAAAGAGGAAGAGGAAAAAATCAGAAAATAGCATCCACCCTCAAACTTCAAATATTTTACAGGTAATGCAAAATATCCAATAACATCACATGCAGGAAAAGAAGATAGCAACCCAAATTGTAAGATATTCCTCCTTTAAGCTATTTGAGGGGTCTAGTGAAAGAATTAAGAATAAATACCAGAATCTAAAAAACAAAGCCATAGCAACACATTTCACTGTTTACCAGGCATGCCAAGCTTCAGTATATTAGAGATATTAGAGAAAATATACTTTGTATTTTTACTGTTTCCGATTCACTTTATCTTCTGGGTGTATTTAAGTTATCATGGGGTTGTGTTCACTTGAACCAGTCCCTTAAACTGCATTTTACTTAAACTGCTTTCTATTCAAATGACTCACTGCTGAGTCGTCACCATCATCTGATACATGTACAACAGTGGACTCACTTCAGTGCATCTTTCACATGCAACACAATGAAAACTCTCCAGAACCTTCTCTCTCTCTCTCTCTCTCTGTGTGTGTGATTTTCTCTTCGTTTCTCACATTTTCTCTCAGAAATCAAATACAGTACTAGGCGGCAAAAGAGAGTAATCACTAACGACCATATGAAGGAAAGAACTGTTTCCAATATTTTTCATGGTAACCAATTAACTTTACATTCATGTCTTTATTTTATCTCATTGTTCAAAACTTTCTAGTTTTCTACAGTTCTTACTATCAGCATAGTAGTCAAAATCATATCATTTTCAACAATAAAGATTCCCAAAGAAAAAATTCAAGGAAGCCTATCATCCTTTCCCACCTGTAGATTACACCAAAGAAAACTGAAATTAAAAATACTCCAATTGACCAGTGGTTGGAAATGAAAGAAATTCCAATTCCCAACATGACTTGACTTGACAGGAAAGTACATATACCTATTGACAAAATACAACTCCTAAATATTATCAGCTTATTAAAAATAGTATTTTGCATGCTTTCAGAACTAAAATCCTTAACATCGATATCATTCATTGCTACCTGATACAGCAAGCTTCCAGTACTAACAGCCACAAGATTGTGTGCTACAGTGAACTCCAGGTCATAGCTGAACATGAACAAAACAACAATACGGACTTCAAGCTCATACAGTGAAAAGTAAATATTATTATTATAAATGTGGGCATGCACCTGATGCACACACACAAAGAATAGGGAAGGGTTAAACAGTTCATACCAGCATCGTTGTGAATTGTCATCGATACAAGGGAACCAACACCTTGCTCTCCTTATCTGGTTATCAGTATGAAGAAAATTATCTTTGAAGTGGATTCCTGTCTCTGCCTTCTCTATCCAATAGTCAATACGAACAAATCTCACATTCTGCACCCAACATCAACCTACATGAGAAAACAGAAATAGTAAACCTCACCACAACAACTCATTTCTCACATTTTACCACCACCATATTTTCAGGTAGGGATGCTACACTACCCACCAATTAAAAATAACAGCCAATTTCAGTAAGTGGGTCAAAAAAATAGGTAGAAAATTTAATACAACAAAAAAACATCAGTTATGGGGTACCGTTATAAATAAATACATGCAATGTCTTGATGATACATGTGGAAAATCGGGTTAGTACTTCATTCATATTGAGCCATACACGTGGCAGCAACTCAGTATACTTTAGATAATTAAAAGTTATAAATATATACAAATTATAAAATCAGTCTATGTCTAATTACTTCTAATAATTCAAAACCATACAAAATGTAAATATTATTATAAGATTCAGTTGTCAAAAACTCCCAAAAATATTTCTAGCAAGGGCGCACAGACAGCAACTATAACCTGCTTGGGCTCGGCAGAAGAATGAAACCCATTTTCAGAAACAGGTTGCTCCTGCTGTTCACTTTCAACCTTAAAAGGTTTACAGCAATTAATGAGTAAATTAGGCACCAGTTCTTTCTCGAGAGATGACAAGTAAACTGAGACAGCAGCATCAGCAGCAGAGCTAGGAGAGCACACCGAGCTCCATCTCTTTTCATCCTCCAACTGCTGCTGCTGCTGATGATGATGCGGGTAATACTCAAACTCCGTGGGCTCACCATCAACCCAAACACTTTCAATCCCTAAATTCTCCGCGTGCAACCCAACGATCCCAATCTCCGGCACCGCAATTTCCAATTCAGTATACCTGCAAGTAAAATTAAATTAAATCTCTCGATTTCGATTATGTGATCCGGAATCTAACTAGAACACAGTCTCAACACCAATAAAACCTAATCCACACAATCTTCAGCTAGTGCACGTGGAAACAAGAGTGAAACGGAAGGGAAAATGTGAGAAGCGAGAAACGAAACGAAACGAACCCGTAGACTAGGCGTTTGTCCATGTCGATGGAGAGGCAAAGCTTTTGGTGGTGAACTAAAGCGCCAGAGTTTTCGGGCTTGGGATCTTCATTCTTGGGCTTGCGAGGCTTCGCCATGAGGAAGCAAATCGAGGTATGTATTTCTCTCCTCGTGTGTTTTCCTTCCTTCCTTCCCTCCTTCTTAGCGAGTAAACTGATGCGTTATTTATAGAGGAAGTGGTGGCGTGCTTGGGTCACACCTTGAGAGAGCGATGACGATTTAGTGCCCTATCGATGTCGTCTGCGCCTGTGCCCCCTGCCCTACATTTGTCAACCCATTTAATCAACGGCAATTTATAGCTTCTTCATTGGGGTTAATTGGTTTAAGATTTACCAATTCCCCCGCATTCTGGATTAGTCCATAGCCGGCTCAAAGAGTCGAAGCTCGTGGGAATATCGGAGGGAGCCAACTCGTCTCAAAGAGATAATTAAAGTTGGGTAACTCCAAAAAAGATTTACCAAAATCAGCTTTGTAATAAGGGATGAGATATTATTATTATCCGCTAATATTATTATCAAACGTTACTATTATGTTTTAATCGTTAATTTTTGTTAATTAATAATTATTATTTTTTGTGAATTAATAATTATAAAATTATTATGCACTCTATTAAAACATCTTCAAATTTATTAACCTACTTGTTAAAAATATTAAAACATGATAATCCCAATTTTGAAGAGGATGGGAATCGGATCCCTTAGGATTTTAGATCACAATTGATATATATATAAAAAAAAAAAAATTGCGGTAATATAGCTTTCATATTTCTACAGTTAATATAGATAAGTTGTTTATATGGATCTGGATCCTCTCATGTGAAAATTCACATGACTATGTCATGTAAAGAATAATAACCATACAAAGGTAGATCAATTGTAATAATAAAAGAGAGAAAAAAATGTTAAAATAAATAATTATAAAATCATAATCGTTGATTTACTTTTGTATGGTTGTGATCTTCCCACATGACCATATCATATTTTTTTTCCACTGAAAGGATCCATTTCCATTCTGAAATAAAATATAATTATTAAAATACTGTATTTCCTTTACAAAATAACATCATTTTAGATTCAATATAAATAAAAAAACTAAACCTGCATACAAATATTTTTTATTGTTTTATGCAACGACAAAAAAACTCTCGTGCATCATGTAGGATGGATAAATAGGTTCCATGATGTTAAGACATATTTTATACTTTGAAGTTAATAAATTCCGATTTTCATAAAACATTTTGTTTCCTTATAAAATAAACGAAAAGAGTATATTTCATTTCATTTGATGCTCTTTATTCTTCTAAATGTTTTGTTACTTATGCCAATTGAGAATTGTTGTAACATGAATAATCATTTTAACAGTTGTAACTATTGGCAAAAATGAACAAGTAGTTGTAATAATAGATAAGCTAACCATAAAACTCTATAACAACTATTGAGTTTTTATGTTTTGCGAGTGACTTAATTAATAAGATACTTTATCGGGGTCTCACGTGGTGGGGGAAAATGGGGTTAAGTTATTTAGGAGAAATACATAGAAACTAATTAGTGTTGTATCTCAGGATGTAAATGGATCGGACGGTCTATCACGGCTCACGGCTCGACCTATATCAAATCATGTTTAGCCTATATCAAATCATGATAGGTTTTTTTTTTTTACAATACCTGGCCTATAAGTTAACAGGCCGACTTATGTCATATTATTTATATTAAATAAAAAATTATTTAAATTATTTTTAAAATTATTGAATGCCTAATATGTTTACATAGACTAACCAGCATAGGTCAAACCATTTATTTTTTAAATATAGATTAGGTCAGACTTGTAATTTGGTCCTACGCAAGGCTAATATATTAGGTCATGCTTAAAGTGTTTTACACATACCTGACCTATTTAAAATAAAGAGATTAAAATGTTACTTTTGCTGAAATTGAAACCTGCTTACAGAGTAAGAGACAAAATTTGTCTAATTATCCCACAATGTCTTCTCTTACCGATAAATCTGTTCTTGATGTAATTAATAAGTTGATACTTGATGAGTTGTCTTCTGATAGAAGTTTGTTGGCAAAAGAGCTTAAATGTTTACTTGGATACCTAACGGAAGAACAACAAAATGTGTACCATAGAATCATGGAAACAACATCTGCAAATAAAGGTGGATTCTTTTCTATATGATTTTGGAGTCATGGGAAAGACTTTCACATAGAAAACATTGTATGCTGCTTTCAAGTCAATAGGAGAGATTGTTCTTAATGTTGTTTCAAGTAAAATTGCTTCATTATTGTTATTAGGGAGAGAAATGCTCATTCTCGGTTCTGCATACCAATTGATATCATTGAGCATTACACTTGCAGCATGTAATGTTTCAAAGTAATAATAATAATAATAAATAAAATATAAAATATCTTAGATATTTTAGAAAATTAATGATTAGATTTTAAGATTTTTATAAAAATAATGATTAGATTCCTTAGATTTTTGTAAAGGTAATAATTAAGATTCCTTATATTTTTATAAAAGTGATGATCTGATTTCTTAGATATTTATAAAGATAATGATTAGATTACTTAGATTTTTATTAAAAGTAATGATTACATTCCTTTTTGAAATTCTATATAAACCCCCCAAAAGAAACTTAAGATCTTATTCATGGATTAACGAAAATGTGCAAGAGTATTTGCCTCTTTCATTTTATGAATCTCCTCCTTTTTGTGTAGGGTAAGAAGAAGAGAGAGAGAGAGAGAGAGATAAAGAAAGAAAAAGAGAAAGAGAAGGAAAGAAAAAGATAGAGAAAAAGAAAGAGGAAGAGGAAGAAAAAAAGATAATGTAATATTGGGAGTAAACAACTTATTGTCTCCTTTGTTTTTAAAGTTGATTTTTAGATATTTTAGAAAGTATGTTGGTTCTATTGTTATTTATGTCATGTTTAAAGTTGGTATTTATTTCTTTAAAAGTTGTGAAGACGTCGTTTCTATGCCAAAATTATTCTATGAATTTTTCTACTCTTTTACTCTATTTTCTATATTTGGCTTTGATGAATTTATTTATATTATACATGAGAATGATATTTAATCAAGTTTATAGAAATCAAAGAATTACTTTGATACTAAATGAATGTAATATTTTACTCAACGATTTTTTACGATGTGACTGATCCACAAGGGGATCAGAATGGTTATGGGATAAGTGACGCCTTATCATGACTTGAGTTCCGCCGTACAAAACATATCACATACAGAACCCACATAATTTGGGCGCTAATAGAATTGAGCATTAGTCTTTTCAGTTAAAGATTACACGTTCTTGTATATGTTTGTATCTAGAACCCACAAAGTTTGGGTATGACTAAACGAATAGCCCACAAAGGTTTGGGCTTATAAACGCTCAACTGTGGCACAATTAGTTCAAATTCTTTCAGAAGTGAATGCTTTAGAATATTCCATTCTTGTAGCAGCCATCGCTTCGGACACCTCTGCAATTTCTGGCCCTGTATTCTGAGTGTGCCATGGGAGAATATTTCCGCGATAATGGAATGCACGCATTAATAATCTATGATGATCTTAGTAAACAGGCTGTGGCATCTCTCTCTAGATATCTAGAGAGAGATGTGAAAGTAAGTAATAGCCTTTATGGCCGCCCCCCGACTTATGGCTTTACACTACTACTACTGTGATTTTAGCGGTTCCAATTGGTTTTTGTTTCCCAATTCTCCTGGCCGGAAACTTGGTATATTGGTCTAGTGTTCTTCGGTTAAATGTCCTTTGTTGTCCAAGAGTTCATCCATTATAGCTGTCCCGTCGTTCAAGGTCGAGGGCAGAACTTTGGGTTAGAGCTCTAGGGTTATATCCAATGAATGAAGGGCACCGATGCCACCAATCCCCTTTCATCTTGGGGGCGACTCTATGCCTTCCCGGCTTACTATCTTGGCCCGGGCAATTCCTTTTTACTTGGCTAAGTCTCTTCAAACCTCTACCTAGAGTGAACTAAGGCTAGAGATGATGAATCTCTATAAATTCACATCCTTTAAGGAGCAGGGATCAACTACTTCTCTTTCTATTAATAGAGGAAAAAAGGAAGGATCAAAAAGGGGTCAGGGTCAGTCCAATTGCATCAATAGCATCTTCTTCTTACAGAAGCGTTTATCGATGTCTGTTAACCCTGCATTAGCATTAGGAATGACGCAGAAGCAACCAAAATATTCCTTGGTGAATAGGGCGAATAACCACCTTTTTCCAAAGAATTTCCAAGTCTTCCTACTCGTTGACCAATTCTGCTTTAGCTCCCGTTCCGTCACGAGCATCTACACCCGCTCTGGTTTTTCCTGTTGTTTGCTTCCTGCTTGTATCATTAAACATGTGTCAACCACTGTAATAAGAGCTAAAGGACTATGAACCTTAAGATTGCACGAACAAGGGAACAATGGATCGAGTAAATAGGAATCGGGGAGGAATCGAACCTCCCGATCGGCTAGCCCGCGTTCCAACCGATCCGCCTCCATCCTCCACTCCGTCCTTCGTTCTCTGTTCTCCCTTAGAATCAATAGGAATACATTTTGTCGTTTCACCGCTCCGTGGGTAGTCAGTCCTAGCTAGTGAGCGGTTCTTTCGGGCGAGAAACGGGCCGGGCCCTACGGGCGGGCATCTCCCACAACGCAAGCTGCATTGTTCGCCACCACCCGATAAGAACGACAGAAAAAAGGATTGATCAAATTCTATTGAGTCTGACTCGTAGTGATCATTTATCAAAGAATAACTCTGGTTATCAAATGATTGAACAATCGGGAGCAATTTACTTATTATTTATTATATTATTCTCTTATTATAAATTTACTTTGTGAGAATGATATTTTTCACTAAAGTGGTTGGATTCGTTATATTTCAAAAATCTCAATATTACTGAGATTTATCTCACGTGTGTTTATTTTTATGCTAACATTTCCAGAGTAAACAAGCCAATATGTGTAGCTTTGGAGTAGGTAAAGCTCTATGATTAAATACTTTGAAGATTATACGGAGTTCAGTGGAGCAATTAATAGAAAGAAAGTGTTTCTTTTCAATTTAGATTATGGTGTATTTCTGATGTAATAGTGAACTTGACTTATGTATAATTAGATTTTGAGAATATTTTGTCATATGCCTTATTTCATATCCGTTGCGTTAGAATTTGATTATAATTCTCACTCTCTTAAAATAAGATTTGAGAATTAATGTGACATCCTCTATGCTAGTCAGCAGTAGAGGGTGTTACATAACATAAAGCAGAATTCAACTAAAACTGAGTTGTTATTAAGAGCTAAATTAATTATTTGGGATGAAGCACCAATGATTCATAGATTCTGCTTCAAAGCTTTGGATAGAACATTGAAAGACATCCTTCATTTTTCAAATCCAAAACGTTCCAAACAACCATTCGGTGGGAAAGTCGTTGTTCTTAGAGTTGATTTCAGATAGATCTTGCCTGTTATTCTTCATGGTGGAAGGCAAGAAATTGTACATGCAACAATCAATTCTCCAAATCAATGGCAATATTGTCAGATTTTGGCCTTGACAAAAAATGATGTCACGAGGATTAAAATGATCTCTGAATGGTTTCTTGATGTTGGCGATGCAATGTTAGTGACAATGTCGATGCTCTGTCATAAAAATCCCAGATGAAATATTAATCAATGATTCCAATGATCCGCTCTCATATTTAGTAGAATTTGCATATCCTAATCTTTTGAAAAATATGGATAATTCGTCTTTCTTTCAAGAACGTGCTATCTTAGCACCGACATTAGCGAATGTTTGCATGTTAAATGAGTATTTAATGTCAATAATTCAAAGTGACGAGAAGGAATATCTTAGTTCATATAATATCTATAAAGCACAAGGGAATAACAATCTCGAGGAAGAAGTATTTCCTCCATAAAAACTTAATATTCTTTATAGAGTTGGACTTCCTAACCATAAATTGATGTTCAAAAAGGGAGCGCCTATCATGTTTCTGAGGAATATAGATCAATCAAGAGGGCTGTGCAATAGGACAAGATTGCTTGTTACAAAACTAGGTGAACATGTTGTTGAAGAAAAAAATATTTATGACAATAACACAGGTGAGATCGTGTTAATTCAAATGATGAATTTGAGTCATTTTAATTACACCTTCCTTGTAAAGTTTGAACACAGACAATTTTCATTGGTTGTTTGCTTTGCCATGACAATAGACAATAGGGGCTGCTATATGATCCAGATCTTGTTAGGATAGCCGCGGCCATTCTGATTTTGTAATATGCTAAGGTTTATGGTGGTTTTCTTCCTTTGACAACTTGTTATGGAAAGAAATAATCAGGTTTTTCAGGTTCTCCTATTTTCCCACTATATGACCAACCTCGTTTCTTAACTCCATAATTTTGTTTATAGCTCTTTTGATGATTGTGAAGTATGATGAAATTGTATTTTTATCTCTATCCACAATCCATTTGACTTTGACCTTTTGAAATAATAAGCTTTCTTCTTCTTCTTTAAGGACAACACTAATTTCATTTTGAAAGGCTAGGTCCAAGGCCGAAAGAGCACCATCTAAGAGTCCCTAGCTATTGATTTGAACATCATGGAGTTTTCTGGTGAAGGTATCATTCTTCACCTTAATATTCCCAAAGAATATTTATTCTAAGTCTTAAGAGGCCCGATCAAATTGTTAAGGCTGGAATTTAAACTCTCTTTCTCCTTCCAAATAGATTTAAATAAAAGTTTAAAATTGTTATGTTCCTGCCAAGCCGCCACAAATCTAAAAGGTCTTTATGTCCAGATTTTATATTTGGGAGCAAGAGAAAGTAGAATGGGGTTATGGTCCGAGTTCAGCCTAAGGAGGGCTTTGACAAAAGTTTCATCACACAAGGTTCTCCAGGTAGCATTAGCACAGACACAGTATAGTCTTTTGTAGACTTTTTCAAGATGAAGGCACTTAGCACCTCTCTAAGTGTATTTTGAGCCAATGCTTTCATGGTCCATTACATGACTATCATCCATGACTTCCATAAACTCAATGCATCTAGCAAGATTGCCAGGGATCCCACCCATTTTCTCTTTTGCAGTTGCTATCTCATTGAAATCTCCTATCATTATACAATGGTTAGTTACAATTCCATTATTTCTTCTAAGATATTTCCAAAGACAACGGTACAAGTGTTCTCATTCCAGATGAGTCAGATTCCCCTCGTGAAGCCTATAACATATTCCACGAGATGATTTTTAAAGCCAAATTATTTTATTTTCCTAATGGCTGAAGTGCCACTAATCCTTTATTCAAGGATGGCAGCAAGACCAACCTTATGCTTCTCCGTGGAACTTTATCTGTAAGGTATTATTGTATAAATAAAGGGTTTGAAATTTGTCATTTTAAATGACATAAGTTATGTTATTTTAAGAAAGAGATAGACACAAGGAATAAAAATCATGAGAGTGAAAGTGAGTGTTTTTTATTTAATTTAAATTTTAAATATTCTTGTGTCTATCTCTCTCTTAAAATGATATAACTTTGTGTTATTTAAAATGACAAATACTTTTTTCATAAATAAATCACGGGTATAAATATTATGTAAAATTTACATAAAGTTGTATTAATATATTATTTGTATGACTAAATATTTACATTACAAGATGATAATTTGTTTTCATAAAAATTACTACTATTAAAATTATGATATACTATTTTTTTTTTTAATACGAGTTACATTTAAGTATATTCACTTGTTGTAAATTAATCATTCAAAAACAAATATTTATCCTTTACTTGACATGAATACACACGCTAATAATAGAGAATTTTTTTTAAAAAATTATCAAAACAAAACAAATAAAATAATATGGTATTTTTACAATTGCAGTAAAAACTTTCAATATCAAATAGAAACAAATATAAAAAAAAACCAAACAGCGATGCAAATATTCTTGAAATCATATCAGTAGAATTTGTTTTATTTTTTGATTTATCTACATTTTGTTCGTTTATCTTTTTGGATTCAACAATGTTATGACAGTTTTATCTTTCTACGAAAGTTGTCACAATTACTTAATAATTGATCGTTGTCTGAAACTTTACCCAAAAAGAAAAGAAAAAAAAGATCGTTGTCTGAAGAAAAAAAAAAGAACACAATAAAAAAATAAAAATGTAGCTGACAATATGTATGCTTGGTTCTGATTGACTTTTAGGAAACATAATATTTTTTTTCCAAAGGTTCTCTTAATAAAATTTTTAACTATAAATTATTTAAATATAAGATTAATTAATTTAAGTTTATATTAAGTGTGCATGGATTAGCAGCGAAAAAGTTAAAATTAAAAATAAATTTATGAGTGAATATTGTAATTTACAATCAATTTTTTATTTGAATTTATAGTTGATTTCAAGACAGAATAAAAACATTATTTTTACTTGTAAATTCACACAAGTAAATAATTGTGGAAAGCAAAATTGTATTTATATCCCCACTACGCCGTTGAAATAATCACAACAAACAACAAGCAAAATGCATCAATTTCTAATACAATGTCAATTTCTGTAGAAATGTGTATTTGAGTTATTATTTTTGTAATACATTTTATAATTTGTAACTTATAAAAATAAATAAAAATATTATTTTCCTAAAAAGCTAAAACATGGTAAAATAATACCATCTATTTCAAACAGTAATATAAACAGGTCGTAATTCAAAAATAAATAATTTCGTTTTGCATCATTTAAAAGAAAAACTATTATATCCCACAAAAATAAAAATAAAATTAACTATCATTATAATTTTTTATTTATTAAAACACTAATTTTACATGACACTAACCAAAGGCCCTTGAGCCGTTGAAAAAGAAAAGCCCGAAGGCCCATCATCATCCATGGTAACAAAATCATGTCTGACTCAATTCCTCTATATAAGACGCAGTTGGCAAGTGCTTTTAGTTTAATTTCTCTGGTGATTCAAACCATAGGAACGAACAACACCGGTGAGCGTTGAACCCAAAAGACTCTACTTAAACCCTAAACCAGATCGATTCGATGATTGAACCTTACAACAAGTATGCGTTTCTGTTTCTAGTTCACGTGCATCAAAATTTCGTTAAACCAAAAGAAGATGAAGAGGCGATTTGGAATTTTAATTAATGTTTTTTTTTTTTAAATTTATTTGGTGAATCTGCGTAGGCTGGTTAAACTAGCGGCGAGGGCTTTCTACGATGATCTAACGAGCAAAGGAGATAATCAGCCCAAAACGGGAAGGAGTGATAACAGAGGAATTGCTGTGGTGGTTCTTGATGCGCTCACGAGGTTCGACCTCTCTTCTTGTTTACCTGCTTTAGAATATGTATGCAATTCCAAAGGAAGGGAAACAGAAAGAGAACGAAAACGATTTGAATTTTTAAGTGAAATAGAGAGAATGGGATAGGAGAACCAAGTCATAGTCCTAATTATTAATTAAATATATCATTCAAAAGGAGAACCAAGTCCAATTACATGTACATGTTCCTTAATGACTTTGGTTGTAACCCTTTAGTTAGTGGATTTATTAGCAATCATAAGGTCCATTCTGATATGCTCTAGAGAGACTCTCTGTTTCTGAACTTTCTGCTTAAAGGACAAATACTTTAATTCCATATGCTTGGAATCTCTTGAATATTGATCTTTTTTGGATAAAAACCACTTCTTCGGAATTTCTTCAGTAAATATTTAGTGGCTTGGCGAAACATAGTCTCGCCGCCATAATGCATTAATTGTCGCTTCAAAACATGATATAAATTATGCTTTAGTTGTAGATGAAGCAATGGCACATTCCTTACCGATTTTCCATGGTACTGTTGCTTCTCCAACGAGGAATAAGTAGCCATATGTGGATTTCTGAATTGGAATTTAAAATGTAACTTGTTCACTTCATTTGAAGAGAAGTTCAAACAATTAAAATGGCCACAGACGAAGCTTGCAAATGAAAAAAGATTGCTGTAAAAATAAATCATAAAATGCTTATATTAACTCTATTGTAGACTCAGGTAAAAATATCAAAGTATATTATAGTTCACCATTGGGCGGACACTACAACACACTATCATAAGGAACTGCAGTTTTATCATTATTGGAAAATTAGTTATTCTCAACCAAACACATACATAATTGTTTTGCAAAAAAAATAAATATATATTTGATCCAAGAATTTCAATTTCTCACAAGCATGTTACTAATCATAGAATATGATTTTCCTTTCAGCAAATCTAAGTTCTCATGATTAATTAACAGTCATCTATTCATTAATATTCTTTAATGGGCATTTCATGAGTGTTAATGTGTTATGAATAAATGACTATATTTATGCATGAAATGCATCATTCTGGCCTGGCCAGTTTGGTGTGCACAAACCTTTAACATAAGTTCATGCATGTAATACATAACTGCCAATCATAGAATATGATTTTCCCTTGAGCAAATCTAGGTTCTCATGATTAATTAACAGTCATCTATTCATTAATATTCTTTAATGGGCATTTCATGAGTGTTATGAAAAAATGACTATATATTTATGCATGAAATGCATCATTCTGGCTTGGCCAGTTTGGTGTACACAAACCTTTAACATAAGTTCATGCATGTAATGCATAACTGCGAATCGAACATGTGATGGAAGCAAATAATATTATGCCAGAATTGATAATATCATCATAAAGAAAGAAAAATCGTACATATAATATAAATAAAATTGAGTAATGCACTTTTAGCTTATATGTATGCGCTGCAATGGAAGAACAATATCGATTATGGGAAATTAGAAACATTTTGAAATTAGCATTCAATTTTCAGAATGTAAACAATTTGAAACTAGCATATGATTTGCATTAGTAGACGAAACAATTATATGTAACACATTGGATTCTGTTACATTTATAGTTAGGAATCAAACCTACATTCCTAACAGATTCCTACCGACTCTAACTGCTCAACAGCTAGAACAGTTAGAACCTTTTAACGGTGGATGTCTGGATCAACTAGTTGGTTTCTCTCCCTTCTCCCTTCTTCTTCAAGCACACATGATGGGGGTTTTTCGTGAGTGTAAGGCTGAAAATTTTGTGGACAGATAGAGGAACAATTTATATTCTTTAATCTATTACATCCATCAATTATCAAAATCAACTGAGGAGATTAACTTAATAAACTCCCACATAAATTGAGGTAATTTAAATCTGGTTATGATGTTCATTTGTAATTACCATTATCTCATTATTTTAGGCTATCAAGGAAGGTAGTTAGTAAGCGGCAAATTTCTAACATGCAATGCCTGTCAATTTTCAAGGACCAGTGCACATTAAAACTATGGTTGTTAAGCTTGCTGTCATAAAAGTATGGGGATTTGATTTTGTGCTTTTCCTGACTCTGGAATATCATGTACATGGTGGGGATGGTGAAGAAATGCAAAATTGATATGGGTGGAACTTGACTATATGTACTTGAAATTTGAAAAATAGCAGATGCATTTATTTATTTAGTTTATGTTTTAACTTAATTTTATTGGTCTGCTTTTAATTTTTATTCAGACGACAATGGGTTAGGGAAGAAGACTTGGCAAAGGACCTCAAATTGCATACGAAACAACTTCGTCGAACTTTGCGGTTCTTTGAAGAAGAGAAGATCATTACTCGAGATCATAGGAGAGAGGTAACCCCTTATTTCTGTCCATGCATTACTTTGCTGTCATTTTGTGAATTACTCTTGGCTTACAAGCATTATAGCCAATCAAATAGACATGTTCTGTCATCTGATACATCATACATGACTTGATTGTGAGCACACACATGGCTTACAGGCTTAGCATTGTTTTTTTGAATGAGTTTAACAGGTTAACTGTTAGACAGTTATCAATGACTGCTGTTAAATCATCCCTTTACATAACAATTTGGGCAGATGATTTATGAGCATAATTCGTGTAAATTGAAAGCTACGCATAGCATGATTAAGGGGATAAATAAAAGGGGATATTTAATTTTATAATGATATGATATTCTCTTAACTTTATTATTACTGTCTTATGTTTTCTATTTCTCACTTTATAATTAAATGAAAAGGATAAGGTAGGGATACTTGAGGCTTTCACAGTTTCGCTTAATAAAGGGTGGAATGGCCTGATAGATCCAATAAGTTGCAGCAAACATTAATGTTTATTCCTGTTTTTTATGTGGGGACCCACCACACCGGGGACTTAAGCTCTTCTGCAAAATGTTGTTTTAGTTTGGCTTATATCTTTGCAATGTGATTAGAAAATTGGCATAAAATCGGCGTTTTAAAGATATTGTAAAGTACAGGCAAAAGGAGGGTCTTATTTTCTTTTATTGCCTATGCTGGGGTTTGCATGTCAGAAAGAAATGCTGTTATTGAAATTACCCTTACAAAATGGTGTTCCTCCCACTTTATATCCTAATATTCCCCCCATCCCGCGCTACCCAAATAAAAAAATCCATGTTTTGTTTTTGTTATAATTGAAAGGAGAGGAGATGTTTTCACTTTTAAAAAGCTTTAGGACACAAGAGCCATTTGGGTTTTTGGGTTCAAAGCATTGATTGGCATATGCTCACTCTACCTTGGGTCAAAATTTAGCTTTTATTAGAAGCATGGCCCATGGAAGCTGTAAGGATTGTTTTATCTGAATAATACTTTCTTGATTCATTGAGAGACCCAACTATATTGAGTACATCTCAACTACTTTAATAAATATACAACCACCAACTACATCAATAAATTGGGAGATATATATTGATCATTCCCAACTTGCTGATCAAATTCTCAAAGGTCGGCTTAAGTAATCCTTTGGTGAGGATATCCGCCGTCTGTTCCTTGGTAGGTATATATGTCAAGCATACACTACCGTCTTCTAATTTCTCTTTGATAAAGTGACGATCAACTTCCACATGTTTTGTTCTGTCATGATGAACAGGATTTTGAGCAATGCTGACAGCAGCCTTATTATCACAATATAATCTGATAGGTAGGGAATAAGAGATCTTCAGCTCCTCCAGAAGCCTTCGTAACCAAATTCCTTCACAAATACCATGGGCTAGAGCCCGAAATTCCGCTTCTGCACTGCTTCTTGCAACAACAGTTTGTTTCTTACTTCTCCAGGTCACAAGGTTTCCCCAGACATAAGTACAATATCCTGAAGTAGATCTTCGGTCCATTGCAGAGCCAGCCCAGTCTGCATCTGTATAGATTTCAATCATCCTTTTGTGCCCCTTTTTAAAGAAAATTCCTCGACCAGGGGTATTTTTGAGGTATTTGAGAATTCTATAAACAGCACTAAGGTGTTTTTCCTTAGGAGAATGCATGAATTGGCTAACCATGCTCACAGCAAAAGCAATATCAGGACGAGTGTGAGACAAATAGATTAATTTTCCCACTAGTCTCTGGTACTGCTCCCTATCAACATCTTCCCCGTCCTCAACTCCCATCTTGATATTAGCTTCAATTGGAGTCTCTGCCGGCTTGCACCCAAGCATACCTGTTTCTTGCAACAGGTCTAGAATGTATTTTTTCTGAGTTAAAGAAATTCCTTCCTTACTCCGAGCAATTTCCATGCCAAGGAAATATTTGAGAGATCCAAGATCTTTTAGTTCAAACTGGTCAGCTAAACATTTTTTTAAAGAGGTTATCTCCTCGCTATCATTACCAGTGACAATTATGTCATCAACATAAACGATCAGAATAGCAATTCTTCCTTTGTCGGAGTGTTTAAAAAATAAAGTGTGATCAGTCTGAGCTTGGGTGAACCCTCTTCCCTTAACAGCTTGAGTAAATTTCCCAAACCATTCTCTGGGAGATTGTTTAAGTCCATAGAGAGACTTCTGCAACTTGCACACAGAACCATCCCCTTTTTCAAAACCAGGAGGTGGATCCATGTAAACTTCCTCATGGAGATCACCATTCAAGAAGGCATTCTTAACATCTAACTGTTGCAATGGCCAATCAAGGTTGGCGGCAAGAGATAGCAGAACGCGGATAGTGTTAAGTTTGGCAACAGGAGCAAATGTCTCCTGATAATCTATCCCATGAGTCTGAGTAAATCCCTTAGCAACTAATCTGGCCTTATACCTATTGATGCTATTGTCTGCATTGAATTTTATTGTGAACACCCACTTGCAACCAACAGTTTTCTTCTTTCCTTTAGGTAATGTCACAAACTCCCATGTTCCATTTTTTGTAAGTGCATCCATTTCTTCTAATACTGCATTCCTCCATTTTGGGTCATCAAGTGCTTCTTGGATATTTTTGGGTATCCTGGTACTATCTAACATAGTGTTGAAAGCACGAAAACCTGGAGACAACTTTTCATATGAGATATAATGGGAAATAGGATGAGCAGTGCAAGATCTAGTACCTTTCCGAAGAGCAATAGGCATATCAACGTTGGTTGTACTAGTACATTCAAGTGGGTTGCTGGAACAAGGACTCGAGTCAGGATCCTGGCAGTCTAGAGTATCTTCATGTGTTTTGCGCCTGCTGTAAAATTTTCCCCATTTACCAGGAGGATCACAAGGAGGATCATTAGATTCAGGTATAGTTGCTCCCCCTGTTTCCTTCCCAATAACTCCACTTGTTTCCAAAGGCCAAGGTAAGACAGCAACATCATTTGGTTTCCCATTATCTTCATTAGATTCAGGGTTGCTCCCCCTGTTTCCTTCCCAATAACTCCACCTGTTTCCAAAGGCCAAGGTAAGACAGCAACATCATTTGGTTTCCCAGGCTTATCTTCATCCATACCAATACCAATAGACTCCCCCTGAAGAGAAGTCGGGGAAAAAAAGGATTGTGTCTCATAAAAGGTAACATCCATGGAAACAAAAACCTTACGGAGAGAAGGTGAGTAACACTTATAACCTTTTTGATTAGGGGAATATCCTATGAAGACACATCTGATGGATTTAGGGTCAAGTTTGGACCTTTGATGTGGAGGAATATGCACAAAAACCACACAGCCAAATATTTTGGGAGGAAGAGAAGAAAGAGCACTGAAAGAGGGAAAAGATTTAGTAAGACAGGATAAAGGAGAATGAAAATTTAGTACCCGAGAAGGCATCCGATTAATGAGATAACAGGCTGTCAAGACGGCTTCCCCCCACAGATATTTAGGGACATGCATCGTGAATAAAAGAGCTCGAGCAACTTCAATTAGATGTCTATTTTTCCTTTCAGCCACCCCATTTTGTTGAGGGGTGTTAGGACAAGAACTTTGATGAATAATTCCATGCTGGTTTAGGTAATCTCCAAGAACTGAATTAAAATATTCAGTACCATTGTCTGTTCGCAGAATTTTGATAGAAGTCTGAAATTGAGTTTGAATCATAGCATGAAAGTTTTTAAAAGTGGATGCTGCCTCAGACTTATCTTTTAAGAGATATACCCAACATACCCTAGAATGATCATCAATGAAAGTAATAAACCAACGAGCACCCGAGACATTTTTTTCACGAGCAGGTCCCCAAATATCACTATGAATCAATGTAAAGGGAGAAGATTCATGATATTTCTTAGGAGAATAAGTGACACGAGAGTGCTTTGCAAGCTGACAAATATCACAAAGAAGGGAACTTGGCTTTTTATTGATAAATAAGTTCGGCAATAACTTCTGGAGATAAACAAAATTTGGGTGTCCCAACCTACGATGCCATAACAAAACATCATTACAGTCATCTGATAAACATAGAGAGTGGTTCGAAAAAATCCTCTTTTCACAATGAACATCTGTAAAATAGTATAGCCCTTCTTCCTCTCTAGCACTGCCAATCATCATCCCCGAGTCCTGTTCTTGAAAGATACAAGCATTTGCAGAGAACTTAGCAACACAATGCAACTCAGCAGTAAGTTTGCTAATAGAGATGAGATTACAAGTAAGAGAGGGAACATGAAGTACTGAGTTCAAAATAATATGCTCAGAAAGTTTAATGGATCCCTTTCCCGCAATAGTGGAGAAATTCCCATCAGCTGTTCTTATTCGTGACGGGTGATAGTAAGGGGTATAGGAGAAAAATAAGGTTGCATTACCTGTCATGTGATCAGAGGCCCCTGAATCAAGGATCCAACGATTACTACGTTCAACATGGAATGCCATACCTTTTTGAGCAACATGACTAGTTGCCTCAGCAGGTTGAGACATCAATTTCTGAAAAGATGAATTTTCAAAATTTTCAACGTCCATGGTTTTCTAACAACAGGTACCCAGAAAAAAGTTCCTCCAAATACAATGAGAGCAATCTTGGCTACAGTGAAACTGTAATTGCTACAGTAATGAACAGTACTGCTACAGTAATCTGTGGGCTGGCTCAGAATCTTGTTCTGAACCTAATGGTGGCCTTGGTTTCATGGTTGGAGGTGTCTAGGTAAGGATTCTGGCTTGGGCAGTGACTAAAACGAAAAAAAAGGAATAGGAAAATGACTTAAAATTAAATCAGAACGAAGAAGAGACTGGAATATAACCAGCTCTTGATACCATGAAGAAAAGAAGAAGTGGAAGAAGTGTTTTATCTGAATAATACTTTCTTGATTCATTGAGAGACCCAATGAGTCCTTTTTATATTGAGTACATCCAACTACCTCAACTACTTTAATAAATATACAACCACCAACTACATCAATAAATATACAACTACCAACTAAATATACAACTACCAACTACATCAATAAATACTATCTAGAATATTCTACATATTCTACAATATTAATGTCTCACACCTTAGGCTCACTGGATACTCATGCATGAGCATGTCATGAGAACCTATGCATGGATATATGACAGAATTTGAAAATGATATTTAGCAAAAGTTAACTACTTGTATATACCTAATGCCACTTTCTTGTCATTGTACAACAAAGGGGGGAGGGGGTGAGTTCTTGATCTTTAAACCTGGAAGTTTGCTTTCACTGACATTAAAGACAGATACACTTTTTAATGTATCATATTTTCAAGAAGTAAGCTACTTGTCATCATGTATTAGTTTATGAGGGTATACTAGAGAGCAGCACCTCTCTAATGTGCTGAATTCCATTGTCTTCTTGTCATTCATTTTCTGTTTTTTGTATTAGGAGTTTGTTTAATTCTTATTCTTGCCGTAGTTAATTTTCCAGTACTCCAGAAGTGTGATTGTTGTTTTCTTTGATTAATATATACAGAAAATCCAGAGTTTTTGGGCCAAAAACTTCCCGTGTCTTGTTATTTCCTTGCTTCTGATCCAGTTTCTTTCACTGTAACTGTAAATACCCACTAAATCTTGCCTATATGTGAAAGTCCATAGAATGCCTATTGTGATTGTAGTTTGTCCATTCCCTCGTGCTCTTTGTTTCTGCCCTGTGATTAGAAGCTTTTAATTCAAGGACTTCAAGCCTATGGTCCACAAATCCACTGCTCTTCTTAAATTTCAAAGAGATATATATTTTTTAAATTTAATTTCTTATCCTAGAATTATAATTCTTTGGTCACATATTTGTACTTTTTGTTTGGATCACATCAACGTGTTTTTTTTTTTTGTTTACCGTGATAATTGCTGTGCTTCTACCAAACGTAGTATAGTAGCACTTTTTTCCTTTTTATTTTAATAAATACTTTTTCTAGATCTTGAAGAATGAAAGAGTAGGTAAGCTCTTTTAAGTTTATTATTTAGAAGACTCCCTCCCTTGCATAAGTTTCATTTTGTTGTCTCTATTAGGCGAACTTTCTTTATTCTATTTTAAATTTAAATGCTGCATAACTAGTTATTTAGTGGATCTGATTTGTAATTTTCATCTGTTGATCTGAGTTTTTTTTTAATTATTTTTCATCGGTAGATTTGCTGGTGTGATGGTTGTTGGTGAATATATATATAGTCATGTACATATTTTCTTTATCTGTTGCATATATTGTGATTTTGCCACAGACAGCAAAAGGTGCAAAAATTTATAGTGCCGCCGTAGCTGCTACAGCTGATGGTCAACAGACAGGAAAAGAGGGAGAAGAAAAGGTCAAGCTGCACACGCACTCTTACTGTTGTCTAGATTATGCACAGGTCTATCTCGTCACTCTAATTCTTCTATAAATGTAGCTTTACTTTACCAATGATATTTGGGTGTTTTATTGCTGAGAAAAGGGAACATTAATGTTATTTTGCCTGTTTTCCTGACAATTTTCTTTCAATAAGTGAAGCCAAATTCTGGCCCCTCCATATTTTGAAAATCTTATGTTGAATTTCCTTGCAGATTTATGATGTGGTTAGGTACAGACTGCATCGCATGAAGCATAAGCTGAAAGATGAATTGGAGAACAAAAATACAGTTCAGGAATATATATGTCCAAATTGTGCAAAAAGGTTTCAGTAATTAATTGTAATATTAGTAGCATAAATTATTATAGTTATTTGAATTAATTTATTTCTGTTCCATAATACTTGGGGATTTGAATTATTTTAGATATAATGCTTTGGATGCACTGCGGTTAATATCTTTTGAAGACGAGGACTTCCATTGTGAAAGTTGTAATGGAAAACTAGAGATTGAAAGTGATAAGATAGCTGCTCAAGAAGGGGGAGATGGAGATGATAATGCAAGAAGACGACGGCGTGAAAAGTTAAAGGACATGCTTCAGAAGATGGAGGTTCTTATATGATTTTATTATGCTGTTTATTGATGATGGTTGTCATTGTTGTTTGCTAGAACCGGGAAACCTAACCAATGTAATTTTCTAGCAAGTAATGTTTGTATTATTATGTTTCTTGAGGATAGGTCGTGTATTTATGGGTTAAATAAGCTGAGAGGGACTTCAGTGAAGCCATAAAAATTTGTCATACTTAGAGCTGCGTGAGTGCCAATTATTTTGATCTTCTAACCATATAAGTGGTAATTTTTTAGGATGATGGTTTATAGTTCTCTCCTTAGTGTTTATGCTAAGCATTAGAATTATCATACACAGAGCTGCTTGAGCACCAATTAGTTTTGTTAGAATATTAGATATGATATGATTAGATATGATTGGATTCCGTCTTATCCGTAAATATTCTGACTGTATTCTGACTGTATTAGGATTAAGTTTGGGCCTTTCACTTAAGCCCATTAGGGTCTCTATATATTGTAACTCTCTGACACAGATCAATACACAACATATTATTCTTCTATTATTTTATATTCAAGTAGTTTGATATTCTAACCATATCAGGTGCTAATCTCTGTGGAAGGTTGTTTATAGATATAGTTGTCTCCTTAGAGTGTTCAATATTAGTGTATCATTATGTGTGATACACTCATATGTCCAGAACATATTGGCATATATTTGTGTTTATCTTAACAGTGTTGATGAGTGTCAAAATGAATGCTTTTAATATGTATGAGGCGGTAGAGTATGCCAAACCATTTTTCCCAAATGTTGATGGTTGCAAGGTTTGTTTGCTGTTTGCATACATCATAACTGTCTGTTGGAAATTTTTTGTAATGTTAAAATAAGTTGGGTCGTGATTCACCCACTTAGAGATGCATTTGAAATGAAATATCATAGAAGAAAATTGATGCAAGAAAAGAGAGAGAGAGAGAGAGAGAGAGAGAGAGAGAGAGGGCATTCCTCTGAAAACACTTTCTGATGTTATTCTTAAGACTCTCTATCAGCAGAGAGCTATTTATAGATGTACATGGAGACTTGCAGATCAAGCCATCTGAACAGCTGATCTAACAGACTTGAACCAAACAATTGAATCTGAAATATATTGTATATTCAAGTGTGTAAGTCTGTACAAGGAGGCTCTCTATTTATAGAGACTAAAAGACCTAACGGAATGACCTAATGGGCCAAGCCCACAATCTAGAATATTCTAGACTATTCTAATAATAATAAATAAATTAATATTATTTCTAACACTCCCCCTCAAGCTGGTGCGTATATATCAAAAGCTCCCAGCTTGTTACAAATATGATCTATTCGAGGACCTCTAAGAGCTTTAGTGAATACATCCGCAAGTTGATCATTGGAATTGACAAATGCTGTCTCGATCTCCCTTGACTGGATCTTTTCTCTAACAAAATGACAATCAATTTCTATATGCTTGGTCCTCTCATGAAAGACTGGGTTAGAGGATATATGCAAAGCGGCTTGGTTGTCACAAATGAGCTTCATAGGCCTTTGTTCACAGAGATGGAGTTCCTTCAGCAATTGACTCAGCCAGATGAGCTCACAGGTTGCATTTGCCATTGCCCGATATTCTGCCTCCGCACTGGATCTGGCGACCACAGTTTGCTTCTTACTCTTCCAAGAGATCAAATTTCCTCCGAAGAGAACACAATACCCTGAGGTGGATCGTCTATCTGAAGGAGAACCTGCCCAGTCAGCATCTGAATAACTAGAGATCTCTGAACTCCCTTTATTTGTATATAATAAACCTCTTCCTGGCGCCTTTTTAATATATCGGAGAATTCTAATAACTGCATCCCAATGGGAGTCACAAGGAGAATCAAGAAATTGACTTGCAACACTCACTGCGAAGGAGATATCTGGCCTTGTCACAGTAAGATAATTCAATTTTCCAACTAATCGGCGGTAGCGACTAGGATTTGGCAGTGGCTCCCCCTGTCCTGGTAATAACTTAACATTGGGGTCCATAGGTGTATCAATGGGTTTACAGCCTAACATGCCAGTCTCATCTAGGATATCCAGTGCATACTTCCTCTGACAGATGGAAATGCCCCGCCTAGTCTGTGCAACTTCGATCACCAAGAAATATCGAAGTCTGCCAAGATCTTTGGTCTGAAATTGATTGAATAAATGCTCTTTCAACTGATCAATCCCGGTCTGATCACTGCCTGTAATGATAATGTCATCAACATAGACCAGGAGATAAACACACTGGCCAGAAGAGCTATGCCGGTAAAAGACAGAATGATCGGCTTTGCTTCTGATTAAGCCAAAGGATTCAACAACTGAACTAAAGCGGCTAAACCAGGCCCGAGGAGATTGCTTCAGGCCATATAAAGATTTTCGAAGTTTACATATCATTCCAGAACTCTCCCCCTGAGCAACAAAACCTGGTGGTTGCTCCATATAAACTTCCTCCTGCAAGTCACCATGTAGAAAAGCATTCTTAATATCAAGTTGGAGAAGGGGCCAGTGATGAATGGCGGCAAGGGCAAGAAACAGGCGAACGGAAGCCATCTTAGCAACAGGAGAAAAGGTATCCTCATAATCAAGACCAAAGATCTGTGTGTATCCCTTGGCCACTAAGCGAGCTTTAAGGCGATCAACAGTGCCATCAGGACCAACTTTAACTGTGAACACCCATCGACAACCAACAACAGACTTCCCGGGAGGAGCACGAACAAGATCCCAAGTGCCATTGGACTGAAGTGCCTGCATTTCATCAAGCATCGCCTGGCGCCACCCTGGATGAGATAGTGCTTCACCTGTGGTTTTAGGGATGGAAACAGAGGAGAGACAAGAAACAAAAGTAAAATGTTGTGAAGAAAGTCTGTCATAACTCAAGAAAGAATAAAGGGGATGAGGATTTCGAGTGGATCGAATACCTTTCCGAAGGGCAATGGGAGGAGTCTCTGATGGAGGATCCGGAGGAGAAGAGCCGACGGGAAAGGGCGATGAGTCATCAAGAGGCAAAGTCGGAGGAGGTGCAGGCTGACGACGTTGGTATGTGAGGAGAGGACGATCTGCAGGTATGGAGGTAATTGGTTGCTCCTCTGGAATAGGGTCACCTGCAGCTGGTAAAGACAAGTCAAGAAAAGGAACAGGGAGGACCTGATCAACTTGGGACACTGGAGACGGAGTAGAGTGAAAAGGCTGCTGATCAAGGAAAGTGACATCAGCAGAAACGATATAACGCTTGAGATCAGGAGAATAACAACGATACCCTTTTTGAAAACGTGTATACCCAAGGAAAATACACTTGAAGGCCTTGGATGTCAACTTGTCTTTACCTGGAGTAAGATCATGAACAAAACAAGTACAGCCAAAAATATGTAAAGGCAGAGGATAAGAAGGTGCTCCGGAAAACAAAATACTGTGGGGAACATCATTGTTTAGCACAGAAGAGGGTCATGCGGTTGATAAGGAAACATGAGGTGATAATAGCATCTGCCCAAAAACGGAGTGGGACGTTCATATGAATGAGAAGGGTACGTGCAGTTTCAACTAGATGTCTATTTTTACGTTCAGCGACTCCATTTTGTTGTGGAGTGTGAGGACAGGTAGTCTGGTGTATCGTCCCTTGTGTATCCAGAAATTTAGAAAATTCAAGAGACACATACTCTTTTGCATTATCACTGCGCAAGATTTGAATAGAAGCACCAAATTGAGTTTTTCTTTCTGCACAAAACTTTTGATAAATTGAAAATAACTCAGAACGATTTTTCATTAAATAAACCCAAGTGCAACAGGAGAAATCATCAATAAAGGTGACAAAATACTGAAAACCCAAAACAGACGTTGTTCGACTCGGACCCCAAATATCAGAATGAACAATAGAAAAAGGAGCATCAGCTTTTTTATTGACTTTATTAGCAAAGGAGGAGCGAGTGTGTTTTCCTTGCTGACAAGAATGACAGTTTAAAGACTTAAGATTGGATAAAAAGGGAACCATATGCTGAAGCTTGGAGAGGTTTGGATGACCCAGACAGCTGTGAATTAGCTCAGGAGACTCTGTGAGAGAACAAGCTACTGGAGAAGGTGGTGCAATCAGATAGTAGAGACCTCGTGACTCAGCGCCTGCTCCAATTGTCTTCCCCGTACCCGAATCCTGCATAGAAAAGGATTGTTTAGAGAAGGTAATAGTACATGAAAGAGAATGAATCAACTGGCTAACAGAGATTAAATTAAAAGGAATGCCAGGTATATAATAAACTGAACTCAAAGTTAAAAGAGGAGTTGGTTTGGCTTCCCCAATTCCACGAGCAGGAGCCTTAGTGCCATCAGCAAGAGTGACAGGGGGTAGGTTATTAGAATAAGAAAGTGAAGTGAAGAGATCTTTATTACCACAAATATGATGAGTAGCACCTGAGTCTATTATCCAGGGTCCAAGAGATGATTGATAAAAACAAGCAACATGATTACCAGTGTCTTGAGTAGGATGCTGAGAAGAAAACTTCTTGAGAAGTGCCTCATAGTCGGCACTTGAAAGAGTTACTAATCCAGTTGAAGGTGGCGTAACATCAGTTTGAGCAAAGTTGGCAGTCGGTGGCTTCAAATGAGGGTACTTCCTATAGTAGCGTTCTTCAAAATGCCCAAGATTCTGGCAATAATTGCAACGAGGCCTTTGTCTGCGGCCACGTCTACGACCGCGTCCACTGTTCCAATTGGAATCACGGGCCCGAGAAAAGAATGGAGATGGGGTAGTACCGGAGATGATGCCAGTCGTGTTTTTGGACGCATTATTTGAGCCCTCCATCACAAAATAAAAGGAGATGACCAGAAAATAGAAATGAACTACAAGAAAGCAAGAAATCGCGCAAAAACGTTGCACAAAAGTGTCCAAACAGCGGGTTTTTCACTGATATCTTTCAAACGGATGGGACCCACAACGAACGGAGACCAGATCTGGAAAGAGGGTGAGGAGGCGAGCAAGATGGTGGTGGTCCGGCCTGGAACGGTGGCCGGACGGTGGCTCACACGCCGGAACAGTG